TTATGATGGAAAAGCAGCCCCCAAATGCTAGTAGTTTAGCTACTTACCAACTAATTAATTACTTGGCAGATAGATAAATTATGTATCCGTCAAGACTGCTTTTCATCCCTGGAGCTGCCTGCCTAACCCCGCTGTGGGTATTCAGTTCTATACAACAGGATACCCAGCTGTGAAAAACTCTCCACTGAGGGCTAACTCACCACAGCACCTTGCTTTTGATGTCTTTATTCTTTAGGATATGAGTCTCCTTTCTTTAAAGGAATTCAGATTGTAATAAAATATGACGAAAAAAAAAATCAAGAATCAGGTACTTACTTGGTCTCCATTCACCATCTTGAAATGCAAGACAAATGATTTAAAAAGCAGTTTTGTGCTAGCATGCTAACTCATGTGTCTTTTATGATAATTTTATATTTAGTTAACTTAATATTTCCCAACACTTTATTGCAAAATTTCCAAATACAGAGAAAAGTGGAAAGAATTGTACAGCAAGCATCCATATGTTCACCAACTATATTCTACCACTAACATTTTAATATACTTCCTTTACCACATATCAGATCACTATCCATTGATCCAATCCTCTGACCATCTTATTTTTTGGTACATTTCCAAGAATTGTACTTGTGCTGTTTTAAAAAGAGAAATTGTCAGTGAAGATATTTCATTCCACAGAAGAGTATTCTCAGATTGGGCTCAGTACTTCCTGAGGATACGGGTTAAGAGCATAGGCTAGGAAATCTCAAAAAGCTGAAATGAAGTTTGACTCTGCTATTAACTAGCTGTGTGGCTTTGGACAGGTTACGTCACCCCTGAGTCCCATTACCTTCACTGGCATGCTGGAAAATGATCCTCATGTGGTTGTTATCATAAGAATTGAACATAATAGATGAAAAGTGCTTAGCACAGTGCCGGACAAATAATGACTATGTGCCGATATTGTCACCTCTTTTGTAATCTCATGAGATCAATGATTCTGTCTGTTTTCTCCTCCATTAAATTCCCAGCCCCTAGCACAGTTCCTTATAAATAACAGATGCTGAATATATGCCTGTTGATATGAATTGGGTTCAATTCCAGAGGTTTTCCCTCCTGAGATGCAGTAACTACTGCTTCTTAATGGAGAGAAAGAGGCAAGTACAGCAGATTTCAAAAGCGCAGGACATGAGAAATCTAGTTCAGGAAATAAGGTAAAAGCAGGAGATGAGACAAAGTTATTTAAAAATATATGTGTATTAGTTTTGGTGATGAAGCAGAAGCTCTCTGTGTCCTGTCCACACCCCCTCCATGTCACATTTTCAGTGCAGACCAGCAGACTGGTGGCTGCTGTACAGCATCCCTTTTGTCTATGGCTCTCCTCCCAATCTCAGCAGGCTGTCGAATCAGTGCACAGAGTGCAGGGCAGACCTGATAAGCTAGAGAATTTACACCCCTAAAAACAACCCTCAACCAGTGACTGCTGGGAGTAGAAATACCCCAGTAGGTGTCAAAGTACCCCAGCGCTATCCCTTGGGGGGTGGTATAATGCTGACAGTGTGTTCCACACCATGTTTAAAGTTAGCCCATGAGATTATAATCCAGTAACCCACAGGGGTAGTTGACTTCATAAACAAGCTTCTTTCCCAGCTGCCTTCCCTTCTCTGTGTCTCTCCCTTACTTTATTATATTTTCTCCACCTCTTAAATGAACTCTCTTCATTTGAATTCTTGTCTCGGGGCCTACTTCTAGGGGAAGCCAAAGTAAGACAAATGTCTTCATGCTTTTAGAGCTGCAGAATCTCTTCTTGAAATGGCATTCTATATTGAAGTCTAATATGTATATTTATAAAATTAGAGGTGTCCTGACTTACAGATTTTTTTTGGGAGCACGGTGGTGTTTGGAGAGCAGAGTCCTGCCTCTGTGGTCTTCTTTCCTTTCTCACCCCCTCCCCATCACTCACTGAACACACCTACATCTTCCTCCTCAGCTCTGCAGAGCACAGCTTGTCAGCTGTGGTGGAGTTGATGAGGATAGGACAGGAGATATAAAAAGATAAATAAACAGAAATAAGCAGGAATAAAAAGGAAAATATGTACTGCCAAAGGCATAAAAAGCATGGACAAATAAATAGTTTTTGCAAAGCAGTGCAACAATTCTACAAAAAAAAAAAAAAAAAAAAAAAAAAAAAAAAAAAAAAAAAAAAAAAAAAAAAAAAAAAAAAAAAAAAAAAAAAAAAACCAGAGGTTTTGAAGGCTGTTGCACATTGTCTAGTTAGTAGCCTACTGGACCTAGAAAAGCAGTTGCTTTGTAGAGAATCTAGGTTGAAAACCAGTGTGGGAAATACATAAGGGGCTAAGAAGAGGTGAATCCTCAGCTTGGAAATAAAATTGTCTTTTGAGGCTGTAATAAGTAAGAAAACAATGCAGAAGAATGTTCCCAGTTAGCTGCATGCTTATTGACCTACTGACTAGCTCAAGGAAAGAGGCTTGTGAAAACCCACCCAAATATACCCAGGAGGAAATTGTGTGTAATTGAAGAAAACTATAGGATGGCTACATAATTTATTGTCTAAATCTGGATACGACAGGTTTGGACAACAGGTATAAACTGGGATTTTTCAGGTAACTAAGATGTGATTGTCCTTATTATAACCTAATTAACGGAACTGCAACTCTAATACTGAAAGTATTGTGTACTAGTGGTGGGAGGAAAACACATTTCAGGTCAGCCCTCTGTAAACCTCAGGGTGCATCAGAATCACCCAGAAGCTGTGTGAAAACGCAGATACCTGGCTTTAACCCCAGAGTTTCTGGCTCTGTGGTTTTTGGGTGGGACATGAAAATATGCATTTCTAGCAAGCTCCCAGGGGATGCTAACATAGCTGCTACACACCCACTTTTGGAGGACTGTTTAAGACCAGCCACCCTCCAACCCTGGCTGCACACAGGAGTCACCGGGGACATTTTAACACATACTGACGCATGGTCCTCACCCGCTTCCCAGTGGAATCAATCTCTGAGGGTGGAGCCTTGACATCTGCATTTTAAGTGTCTCTGAAGATTCTGATGCATGGTGAGAGGTGAGAAGCCCAGGATTATCTAAGGGAAAACTAAAAAACTAGAATCCATCTTAAGTCTCAGAAACTGGGCAGAGTTTTGAAGAAGTGGGGACTCAAATCCCTTGGCATCTGGCATCTTGGGCTCCCGGGAAATCTGTCTAGAAAAGGAACATCACAGTGGCTACGGCTGCCCAAGGGGACAGGGAAATCCCTTTAGAGCAGCTCTGCTTCCCTTTCTATCATACCCTAGACCCTTGAGAAGACTTTTGCTTAGAGAAAGGCATCTTTGGTACAGTGGTAGTTTAAAATGATAAATATAGTGATTACTAGGATATTGGATTATCAATTCTTTCAATTTGCAACAAAGATGGATTTTTGTTTGTTTGTTTCTTTGTTTGTTTGACAGGGAGTCTCACTCTGTCACCCAGGCTGGAGTACAGTGGCATGATCTTGGCTCACTGCAACCTCCACCTCCCAGGTTCAAGCGATTCTTTGGCCTCAGCCTCCCAAGTAAATGCAATTACAAGCACACCACCATGCCAACTAATTTTTGCATTTTTAGTTGAGATGGTGTTTCCCCATGTTGGCCAGGCTGGTCTCAAACTCCTGACCTTGGGTGATCCCAAGTGCTGAGATTATAGGCATGAACCACCACACCCGGCCAATATCAATTTTTAATAGTCCAAGTTTTGTCCGGATCACCACCAAACTCCCCTCTCAGTGGGTCTCTTTGCTTCTACTGCTGTCTATCACCCTGCTACCACTAATTATTCTCTACAAGGCAGCCAGGAGAATCTTTCAAAACATGTACTCTCCTGGGGAAATCTTCCAACGGCCCCCTGCTGCATACACGATGAAATCCCAGCTCCTTATCCAAGGACAAGCTGGCCTCTCTGACTTCTTCCTTACCCCTCCCATCCTTGTCACCCTCTGGCAGCCACCCAGGCATGTTGCAACTCGACTACACTCTATTCTTTCCCGTCTTTAGGCCTTCATGTAAACTCACCTCTGCCAAAGAAGGTGTTCACCCAGATATTCCTACGGCTATTCCTTTCTCATCCTGCCAGTCTCCCCTCAAATATCAGTACCTCCAACCAGCCATCACAGTCATCTGTCTAAAGATTCCCTCTTCCTTCTACTCCTTCATTCTGCCATTTGCTCTTTTTTTTTCGCATCACCCTGTTTCTGATCTTCATATCATTTGTCATGCTCTGCAATTTTCCTGTTTTTGTCTTCCTACTAGGATGTACTGCATATTTGATGAATTAGCAGTTCAATAGCAACCACCATTAAGATCATTCATTTAACTAACCACCATTGTTTAAATTCAACGTTCACCAGAAAGTACAAACCGCTCAAAAATTTGATTCTCCATGTTGACTCTCTTAAAATGGGAAGAATGTATTGATGAGGCAATATCAGTATTTTGGCCCACTTAAAAATGACTATTTCTTCCTGGAAAAGCTATTGTTCTGATTCATGGGACAGTGTTTCTCACATGTGGTTCTGGGTCTGGTTAGGATGATTTCATTCCCTTGATCTGGTTTAGTTTTTGGAAAATTGACCCAGTGGTATTCTTGGACCTAAATATTTGAAAGATAGGATCTCAAGGAAGGCCACATATCAACATACTGCCATCCTAGAGGGCCCTATCTGGTGATCACTTGAACATAATCTACAAAAGCAATAAGTCTTATTTCTTAACCAATGACTTCTTCCTGCATAACTTCAACATCATCTACCATGTTCATCTCCATGATATTCAAAGCTGTTACTGATATCTTCTTTTGTGTGTGAATGATCTTCCCAAATTCTTTACATGACAAAAGCATTTGGTCTCTTGTCATAGAGGAATGAAGACTAATTCCAGCTGGTCACCAAGATACTCATGGTCAGTCTGCTTCCTGCGTGGGCAACTTTTCATAAAAACATGTTTTTGTCATTTGTTGTTTGTCTGACTTACCTTGCCAACGTCTCTTGGGAAAGGCTGTCTCTGATTCTCTGGAATTAAAATGGGAGATACCACAATGGACCTCCTTTGTCTTGGGACAGGAGAAGTTCTTGCAAACTTAAAAATATCCTAAAAGAGAAAACAAAAGGATTGATTAAAATCTCCCATTGAAATGATTTATCAGTCTGCTCTGAGATAGAGTTCCTTTGTTGGGAAAGCATACAGCTGTTTGGAAAGTGTTCACTGTAGTCCATCAAACCCTGTTAGCATTACCAAGTACATTATTAGAATAATACTAAATCTGACATTGTGATTCACTATAACTATCATTATGTTATTTGAACCCAACTTCTGAATCATTCTATTCACAATGACAGTCTTAATTTACGCAGTCTTCATTGCTTGCATATTACTGTTCTTAATCTGCCTAGCTAGTGGATTACTCACCTGGTCAGGAACCTGGATTAGATGTAAAACTTTATTGGAATTATAGCCAATGAAGAATTGGTTTTATAACCAACCCTAAGCAAAAAGAACAAAGCTAGAGGCATCACATTGCCTGACTTCAATCCAGAGAATACAGAAATAAAACCATGTACCTACAACCTGCTGATTTTCAGCAAAGTCCACAAAAATACATGATAGGGAAATGACACAGTATTCAATAAGTGGTGTTGGGCTAAACACTGATATGGAAAATTGGATAATTATACGCCTAAGAGTGAAACTGGACCCATAGCTTTTACCATATACAAAACTTAACTAAAGATGGATTAAAGACCTAAACACAAGACCTGAAACTATAAAAATCCTAGAAGAAACCCTAGGAAAAACTCTTCTGGACATTGGCCTTGGCAAAGAATTTATCATCCAGTCCTCAAAAACAAACATGACAGAACCGAAAACAGACAATTTGGACTTAATTAAACTAAAAAGCTTCTGCACAGCTAAAGAAGCAATCAACAGAATAAACAGATAACCTAGAGAATGGGGAAAAAATCTTTGCAAAGTATGCGTCCGACAAAGGGCTATTATCCAGAATTTACAAAGAATTCAAGCAACAAAAATAACCCCATTTAAAAGTTGGCAAACAACATAAACAGACATTCTTCAAAAGGACACATATAAGTGGCCAAAAAACATATGAAAAATGTTCAGTATCACTAATCACCAGAGAAATGCAAATTAAAACCACAATGAGATATCATTTTATACCAGTCAGAATGGCTATGATTAAAAAGTCTAAAAAACAACAAATATTGGTGGGACAGAGAAAAGAGAATGTTTATATACTGTTGGTGAGATTGTAAATTAGTACAACTTCTATGAAAAACAGTATGAAGATTTCTCAAAGAATGAAAAATAGAACTACCATTCAACCCAGCATCCCACTACTAGGTATATACCCAAAGGAAAAGGAATCATTATATCAAAACAATACCTGCACTTGTGTGCTTATCATAGCACTATTCACAATAGCAAAGACATGGAATCAACCTAAGTGTTCATCAGCAGAAGACAGGATAAAGAAAATGTGGGAGATATAAATACACACACACACACACCCAGACATACACATACACATACACATACGCATATACACACATATATGCCATGGAATACCACTCAAACATAAAAAAGAATAAAATCATGTCTTTGGCAGTAACATGGATGAATCTGGAAGACAATACCCAAAGTGAGAAACTCAAACAGAAAAATGCTGCCTATTTTCATTTTTGAGTGGGAGCTCAACAATGGGTACATGTCAACATCCAGAGTGGAATAAAAGACACTGGGGACTCCAGAAGGTGGGAGGGTGGGAGGAGGGTAAGAGCTGAAAAATCACCTATTGGGTACAATGTCCACTCTTCAGATGATGGGTTCACTAAACGGCCAAACTTCCACACTACAAAACGTGTGCATGCAAGAAACCTGTACCTATACCCCTTGAATATTGTTTTTTTAAGATACTCTTCCGATAATAGGTAATTTTTCTCTAGGGTAATAGATAGGCATTTTTTTTAAACTTATACTTAGTGAGTCTTCAAAAAAATTAAAAAATAAAAAATAAAAAGCAACTCTTTTCATGGCCCACTGCAAGGTCCTTCCATTCACAAATGAATAGAAATAAAGGGATCATCACAAAGTCCCAAACTATGTCAGGCATTATGGAGACTTCTATTCAGTGTTTTGTCAAGGGACATGTGTTACGATTGCTATTAGTAGGGCAACTGTTGGAATGCACTCTCCCAGTCGCATGTCCCAAGTTCAGTCGTTGGAGTGACACTGTCAGGGTGTTTGCTCTATGTGTAACCCACCGTTTTAATTAAATAAGTGTTTTCAAAATGAAAACTTTCCATCATTTTAAATAAAACTTCAGTATCACTTTACATGGAAGGAAGACATAAAAATAAACATGCTGGAAACCTAATGACACTATTAGATTTTTGCTAGAACCTGTTATCTATAGAAAGCACCTAATTTTACAGGTTAAAAGGGGCTAGAGAGCGATGTTAAAGAGGTGTTAGCACCAAGCTAAGACTTCCTCCATTATCCAATCAGAGGACTGAAAGAAAATTGAAAAAGAGTATCATTTTCAATGTGCAAACTGATCTTATTTAATGCCACATACTAATTAAAATTGTCTTCTGCATCGTGAGAAGTAAACATCTCAAACTTGATAACAGGTTTCTATCAAAATCATGTAATAAATGATAGTTTCATTCCGTCTTCGGCCCCAAGGCCCCATAAAAGTGTGTGTGTGTGTGTGTGTGTGTGTGTGTGTGTGTGTGTGATAGTTTTAAAGGGATATTCATGTAATAAAATTCAAACAGGAAACAAGATAAGCTAATGCTCTGAAAGCATCTATAAATAGCCATTCTCTTGGTTTTGGCGGGAGTATAAATTCATAAGACCCTTGTGAAAAGCAATCAGGCAATGTTTATTTATTGAGAGCTTTATGAATGTATATATCCCTTCACTCTGTAATTTTACTCCTAGGAATGCATCCAAATGCTAAATTCCAAAGAAGAATAAAACTGCATGAAGGAAGGCATTTAGTGAGACATAAGTTACAAGGGGCAAAAATGAAAACCATCCTAAATGTTCCATAGCAGGGACAAGGTTACATTTGGGTTTGTTAGTAGGAGATACTCTTAGGCCATGACCAATAAAGCAGTTGTGAAGACCGTGTTCCAACCACTATCATCATCGCTCCATTGCCCTCACCATCACTACCCCAAGCTACTATAATAATGATATAGTAAGCATATGCTGGCCGGTGTGCTAGGCACTTGGCATGAGTCAGTTCTAATATTTGCAACAAATCTCTCAAGTAAATCTTCTCCCTCCTTAATCAACGAAGAAAGAAAGAAAGTTAGGAGAGGTTGCATAAGAACTGCTACAATTTATCTAGCTAGCAGAGAGAATATTTCAGACAAGCTATCCAGAAAAATATAGAGTATCATATTGAAAGTATTCTATTTTATATACACTATACTGATCATAGAAGACTATTAAAATCTCAGTGAAAGAGCCTAAGTAAAAGACACTTTGGTGAAAAGGACACAATATGTAGGCAAAGAAAACTGGATTCTATATAAGACAGTGAGAATAAAAAGAATAATATAACAAACAAACAAAAAAGCCAACCACCCAAAACAACCCCAATGTGAAACAAAGAAAGAGCATACAGAAAGCTAGGGTGAAATAGGCAAAGAGAAGACTATGAAAATTAGAGCAGGTTGGCTGGGCACGGTAGCTCACACCTGTAATCCCAGCACTTTGGGAGGCTGAGGTGGGTGAATCACGAGGTCAGCAGTTCGAGACCATCCCGACCAACATGGTGAAACCCTGTCTCTACTAAAAATACAAAATTTAGCCAGGCATGGTGATGCACACCTGTAATCCCAGCTACTCAGGAGGCTGAGATAGGAGAGTCAGTTGAATCTGGGAGGCGGAGGTTGCAGTGAGCCGAGATCATGCCACTGAGCTCCAGCATGGGTGACAGAGCAAGATTTGGTCTCAAAAAAAAAAAAAGAAAGAAAAGAAAATTAGGGCTGTATTTATATAAAACTGATGTTTAACATCCATGAAGATTCTGTTGGTTTATTAAGAGTAGCAAAAATAGGAAACACGTAAAATATGTGCAATATCTGAATGTCATTCTCGATAAAAGAAAATCTTGAGCCTCAGATGAGAGCACAGTCTAGGCAACTACTTTAAAAAGATATAAAGTTTGTGCAGATGTCAAGGACTGGTGAATGGGCTTCATTCTAGAGCAAACATAGGCCTCAGTTCATGATGACAATATATGTCTAAATGTGTCCAAAATAATGACAAAGCATACTGTGTCATCAATAATAAACTTTGCACAGTGCATCATGAAGGGCTTGCTTGTGTTTTCATGCCCACAAGTGGGTGATGTTTGTGTCCTCATGGGTGTCCAGAGCTGTGAGGTCCCCAAGACCCCATCCTACCTCTGGTGTCTCCCCAGCTCACCAGCTAATCAAGTCTACAGCTGCCCGTCTATTTCTCTGATTCTTACAACACATCCCAGAAGTATGGCAACTAGCACAAATGTGTTAATCCCTGGATCTAAAGTGCCCAAGAAAAGAAGCAGGAGTCTCTGATCCTTGAAAAACAGCACCTAGAAGGAACAGGGTGGGGTCCTGCTGGAGGTGCTGATTGTCAAGAAGCCACCACATGTATGTCACCTCTCTGGGCCCACCATGGTGGGCGTCTTATAGGAATGACTGAAGTCAGGACATCCTGCTTCATCTGACGCTTAACTTTTTGCCTTACATTGGGAGAAACTTCAGTAAATATTTATGGCTCTGTGTTTCTGGGTCTGTGGCTCTGCTTCTATCATTGTCTGTGATTTGTCTATATCTATAACTATGTGTTTGTGATCAAGTCTCTACTTCTACATTTGTGGCTGTACGAACATTTGATCGAGTCTGTGCTAATGAGTTTGTGTGTTCTGCCATATGTCTTTGTGTGACTGGCACCATGTAGGAACCATCATACCTAATTTGACTGACATCCATACACCCTGCTTTGGGGCAACTCTGTGTGTGTGTATGTGCGTGTGTGTGTGCATGCGCACACATGCGTGTGGACATGCAAAT